AAATCGATCATGTTGGGTTGGGTTAGGGTTGGGGCGAAAACCGACCCAACCCAACCCACGCCCACCCCTACCTGCAGGTATCGAGTTGAACAAATTTTTTTGTCATCCCTAACATTTACTCAATAAAGGTATTTTACACATAAATTTTTTAACTTTTTTTATCATTTTCAATCACACGTTTCAAAAAATACTATTGAAAACTATGTTTTTAAAATTTTAAGGCCATCAAACAAGGGCTCAGTCAGACTCACACTCCATGTCATATCCTACCTGGTCTAGTCGAGATTATAGATTAAGGTAGTCAAAGTGATGCATGACCTCAACTAAGATACCATGACCCATGTGAGATGCTATAACTTGTTGCAGAGTAAATCCAAAGCGATTAGCTTCTTGATATAAGAATGCATCTATTGCTTCATCCATTCCAAGAGATTTCCCATACAAGATTTTTTCTTTAATTGATTGAGTTGACATCTACATCTCTTTAGTCAACTCGTTAGTCCACTTTTATAAGAAAAATCTAAGCTGTAGTATAGGTTGACTGCTTTCCCGTAAACATTAAAAATGTCACTGAAAATGATGCCATGTGTTTTATCATTTGACGGTAATAAGTCATCATCTATTACTATAAACACCACCCTCATGTGAGGGGCTTAAGTGTACATTCCTAGAACGACTATACACACAGACATTTCCTACTATAAAAACTCATGCTTTTTACCTTTTGAAAGTAATATAATTTTACGTAATCATAGTAATATCGCTCTCTTTGTTCTCTCGTAAACCCTCTAGTGCTCATACACTCTTGTGACTCATATCTTCCATCCATCCAACACCCAAATATACTTACATAAGTTGATTGACTTGATCGTTGAAGTATTCTCGATCGTCTCCCTCACCATCTAAGATCAAATGCTTCTTACAATTTGTTCAAATATGCAAGAGCCATATGTGTGAGTGTGGGTGGAGTTGGGGATCTGTTGACCATAGCGCCAGTGTAGAAATCGATGTCAAAGTTTGTTTTTAGAAAGAGTTCTCTATCAATATACTATTTTTTAGGCACTAACATGCTATTATTAGATCATAATATCGCAACTTATGTTCTAAAATAGAGATGAATACGTACTATGATAATGTTGGTTGTTTATGATAATTACAATATCTTGATAAGACCAATACTTATCATATAAACGGTATCGCTGCACAAGTCTTCGAGAAGGCTAATTGTTGACTCGCCCTCTTAGGCAGTTTGTGATAGATTGAAGAAAGGAATCACAGACCCATAGGTTTGCGCATACCAAAAAAAATATTTGTATATTATGAATCTAAGCAATATACCACACTATTATTTTGGATGGTAATTTTGAATAAGGGTGGATTAAAAAAGGGAACTATTAAAAGGGCAATAATCGACCTAAATCAATCGTTTCAATTAGATTTAGGAGTATGTTTTCAATAAGACGTAAGAGGAAAAAAAAATCACAACTTCTTTTTTATATATATAAAAAAACGTAAATGGGTACAGACGGCTCAACTAAGATTTTAATGATTTTTAAAATATTATAAATTCTAACGATTTTTTTGAATTTGAATATTTTCATAAAATTCATAAAAATCTAATTAAAAATTATGAAATTTCAAAAGAATTTGTTATATATTTTTTTAAACTTAAAATTCATCAAAATTATACTAAAATCCTTTTATTAATTAAATCCTTATGAATTTATGAGTTATCGATGATGATTGTCTAGATTTAATGGATTTTATTTAAATGGGAACGAGCTGGGCTGATCTTCCAAAAGCACTGCTACATAGAGTTTAGTGCACATATCCGCGCTAGTAAACGGTGTTAATTACAGCTTATACGAACGACAATTATAATAATACTTTTTGGTCACGTGAATGAAAAAGAGCATTAATAAAATAATCAATAAATGGACAAAATTATTTTAGTAAATATGACGCATAATTTAATTCTTGTTCGTCTCTCTTTAAAATAAATTTTTTTATTCTTATAATCATTTTTCACTATATATTTATACAATAAAATATTTTATTCTAAATCTAAAATTTTTCTTATTTTTTAATCACATTTAAAAAAAAAAACTATTTAAAATTCAATTTTTTCAAAATAATTGTCATCAAGTGGGGCTTTAGTGGTTAGAATCTTTTGTCAAAATATGGGATTGAACCATGTTGCCACTTTACAAAAAGAAAAATAAAATTGTCAAAGTAACTTTGCCACTGTTTGATGGTTTATTATTTGGTAAAAATAAACTTTTGACTAGCGAACTTTTCAAAAAAGTGTTAAAAAAAAAATATTAAATTTACGTGTACTGTCTGTAGTGGCGAATCTAAGATTTTAAGTCATCATGGGCGGCCATTGACTGTTGACTATCGGCTGTAATAACATATTAAGAGCTCGTTTGATGTACTTTTTTTGTTGCAAAAAATACATTTTGGAATAGTGATTTGATGAAAAATAAGTGGTTAAAAATAAGAAAAAATTTTGAATTTACATGTAATATTATTTTATTAAAGATTGTATGGTTGAAAATAAAAGAGAAAAATGCGTTCTAAAATAAATTGGAATTAAATAAGGCATAAAATTTAAATATGACAATTATTTTGTTGAAATTGAACACATATAATTTTGTTAAAAGAATAAATCGTACTCACTAAATGACATTGTTACCAAATTTTATATAATTCAAAGGAAGAGCACGAGTTCAAATAATATTGTATTAAACCCACTACAATTAACATATATAAATTTGTTAAATTTAGTGTCACAGTGGTCAATCTCTTAACAATTCTAACAAGATGTGCAGGTTCGAATCCCCTCATCCATATTCCATCAAATTTTGGTAAAAATTGTAGAAACAAAAAAATCATACAATAAATTCGTTGTAAAATGAATTGAACTCAGGACTTGCAAGAAGAAAATGCTGCCCTACGCAAGTCGGCTAGAAGGAGTGTTTAAATTAAAAGTGAATATCAATAATATAACCTAAAAAATGTATATCTTGTCAACAAAAATAAAAAAAAAGGAGCTGTCGTGATCCGCCAATGACTGTCTGAATGAAAATAAATGCATAGAATAAGAAGTTTTGAAATAATAATTATGTGGGGCTTGCTATGCCTATGCACAGGTGAACTTTAGGCCTTAAAGATTGACCTACAGAAGTCTACAATGGAAGTTTGTTATGAAGTTGATGGTCATGATCTACAGCTCTGACTGAAGCAAGTTGACATATAGGACCCACATTGGATTCTACACAAGCCGTCGTATTTCGTTTTAATTACTTTTGCAACCCCCCAACTAGAAAATTTTAAATAGATTCTTTTGATAAGTGAAAAGTGGTCCTATGCTTCTACAATTTTATATCAAGTAATGCTTAACTTAATCAGTTCAATTCATTTTTCTTATTTTCAATAGACTAAATCGTTCGCACATAAAATTTAAAGAGTATGAAAGAATAGCAACAAAAGTTAAAGAACGAATATGATATTTTATGTATTTGTATGTATATATCTATCATGTTCTAAAGGATCAATGGTAGTTACCATCAAATACAATATACTTTTAGAGTACATATAATAATCTGTATTGATATTTAAGTAAGATCACTAGTAATTTATTAAAATTTTTGAAGCCATAGTTAACATTAATTTAATGGAAGTTACAAATAATATGCACATTATAATGGTTGGGCTTTGCTACTAGCTGTCAACAGCCCCCTCACAAGGGGGTGCGATTTTTTTATTGGATGAACCATCAAAGTTCATAATGGTTAGCCCGTCACACTCACACAAACTTTGTATAGAGATTTGGGGTTTCAAAAGGGTCCAACTTTATCACATGGCACGTAATTTAGTGGTTAGAAAAACATTGAATAATTGCCAACTTAGGAACAATACGTAAGTACGTAACATAATATTTTAGCATACAAAATCGATTGAAAAATAATAACAGCCAGGGGCGGAGCCATGTTGAGACGCTGAAATTTTAGGCCCAAACCCTTTCCTTTTTTTTTTTTTTTTTTTAATTATTAGTAGCAGGGGAGGAGGAATAAAACACATGTTTTAATTTACATTGATTTTATTTGTAGGTCCAAACCCTTTCCTTTTTTTTTTTTTTTAATTATTAGTAGCAGGGGAGGAGGAATAAAACACATGTTTTAATTTACATTGATTTTATTTGTAGGTCCAAACCCTTTCCTTTTTTTTTTTTTTTAATTATTAGTAGCAGGGGAGGAGGAATAAAACACATGTTTTAATTTACATTGATTTTATTTGTAGGTCCAAACCCTTTCCTTTTTTTTTTTTTTTAATTATTAGTAGCAGGGGAGGAGGAATAAAACACATGTTTTAATTTACATTGATTTTATTTGTAGGTCCAAACCCTTTCCTTTTTTTTTTTTTTTTTTTAATTATTAGTAGCAGGGGAGGAGGAATAAAACACATGTTTTAATTTACATTGATTTTATTTGTAGGTCCAAACCCTTTCCTTTTTTCTTTTTTTTTTAAATTATCATTAGTAACAGGGGAGGTGGAATAAAATACATATTTTAATTTACATTGATTTTATTTTTAGGCTCAAATCCATAATTTTGTTTTATAATTTTATCATCATTAAATTTATGACCAAAATTTAATGCCTGACATGGATTAAATTATTCCCACACTTAACAAATTTTATGGCTCCACCCCTGATAACAGCGATCTTTTGTCAAAACGTGATTCAACTTTACCGAAGAAGTTAAAAAAATAAAGCAAAAACAAATAATAAAGCCTGTTTTCCCGACCTTTTTGTCATATTCCTACCGTTTCTTTGGCATTAAGATTCTGCAAAAGCGTTAAATGTTTTACTACCCTTTCACAACTCTGTCCAAATATCCTTAGTCTACGTTCGGGATCCATTTTTATTTTATTTTTTTATTTTAAATGTATTTTTCTCTTTCTTATTTTTAATTACATTTTTTTTATATACTAATACATGATATAAATGGTTCAGATATGCTTTACAGACATGAATAAAGGGGGAAAAAAATTATGTTACAAGACGACGCTCCTCAAAACCTCCAACACGATACAAGACATGCACAGAAAGGTCAACATCTTACAAAATCGACATAGTAAAAATGAAAAACAAACCAGATATGATTCCACATGGTAACTAACAACCAACGAATCTTCATTTTTTTCATTTTAATCGGCATCTGCAAATCTGCAAGTTTATAACAAACGATGTTAATTTCTAAGTTGACTAGCAATGTATAGATAAAAGAATTCATAGACGCGAAAAAGCGTACCCAAGCTCTGAGAGTTTTAAGTGAGCTTCAGCATAATCAGCAAAGAAGGCATCCTCATCCTAGCAATGTATAATAAAGTTAAAACCTGAAGGCCGAAACATTGTGAACCAACCTAAAAGATAATGAGCAGATTAAAAATCTTACCGCAGCATATTTTTCAACAAGAGGGCGAAAGACAGGATCCTCTAGTAACGCTTTGTCTGACGGTAGCTGGATAAGGCCTTCTTTCTCTCCACTCAAGAGTTCCCTAAAATTCAGAATAGAGTCGATCAATAGTTGCTCCTCCATATACTTTTTAACGTTTCTAAACAAATTGATGGACTGGAAGGGCATGATCGAACAATGCTCAAATGAAACATGTTGAATGAAATGAACTAATATCAGGGCTTACTTGAAGTAAGAATTGTCAAAAATGAGAGGATTAGTGGTCCACGGCCCCTCAAATCCAGACCGTTCCTTATGGCATCTTCCCTAAGAGATAATCCGAGAAGGCATTCAATTTAAAACGACACGATATACTGTGATTTAGTAGGACGAAGAACGAATACTACAGTAAGTTAGTTATGCGGTAACATTTATGGCCCTGAAAAAAGGTGGTGTGGGGTGCCCAATTAACACAAGATTACCAGTATTCTTCCTTAACATACCAAGGTGTGTCCACCAGAGAGAGCAACAATATCCTTATCACTCAGCCCCATATGTCCAAAAACTTCCCTCAGATGGTCTGTGCCTGAATATTAACGAAAAACAATCCTCGTTTTAAGAAAGTTGTAATTTCTATATTCTCTTTGTATGGTTGATTACAGGTAAAAATGACAAACAAAGAGCTACCTTTTTTGGCATCAGGCAAGCGGCCTTCTGGTGGAGATTCTGTCTTGTCCTGAAACCAAGAGATTTACTTAGTAACTACAAGATCACAGGTAAATATTTTGCACTTTGAAATTCACTTAATCATGGACCATCATATGTTCAACCAATGATATCAAATTCAGAAGCCAAAGAATTTTTTTAGGCAAATGTTTAATTGAGCTCCTAAGATCAATTTTCTCTAAGACATTGTTGAAGAAATAAAATTGTCAGTTGTATCATTTGACAATTGCATAATCAAGAGAATGAGTCTCTATATACTATGATTGAAGCGATAAGCATTGGCAAAACTGATTTATATCTGAGGTTAACATGACTTCTCCAGCCAATGCATAACCCATACAACAAAGTAACGGTTGAGTTACAGTGACACTAAGGTGAATTTTCATTAAGCAAAATATCTTTTAGAAGAGAATTTAGTTGATAAGCATGTCTTATATAATTATTTTCAATGAAATTTACTGCAATAAATCTCGACGGTAGACAGAACAAGGACAGAAGCAACTGACACACTCACAGAGTCTTCCTTACGAGAAAATTTCTACCACTCTCGGAGTATGAAACTCAGTACGCAAATATTTATTCACTTCTAAAATGAAGAAAATACAAGACTTGTCAGGAAGAACTTGAAAGAGAATTGCATTCTAGAGATAGAAATAGAGAACAACTGCGGTAAAAAAAATGTTTCATTATATCAATTACGCGCCATGTTAAAATATATTGTACCAACTCAGATACACTAGCACACGAGCTTTAAAAAAAGGTATGAATCATGGTACTATATGCATCACTTTAACCATTGTTGAACTTTTAAATTTTTTGGGAAATAACGAAGTTTAAATAGTGAGTCAATTAAGATTTGGAAAATTCAAGGCATGGCATCATCTAGATTACACCACCTCTTCTATCTATCAATACAAGCTGTTGAAGATTAAATTCAAATACTATGAATGTGTCCTCAATCTAATAGTTTAAGATATTACAGTAGGCAAAGGTCATCATTCAATATCATAGCAAAGTAGGCAAATTATGAAAATTGTACGGGCCTTATATGAAAAAATGAGTCTAACTTGCATTGCACATGAAAGGTGCGTTGAAGACTAAATTTAAATAAATAAATAACCTAACCAGTTGCAAGATCGTTAAAAGAAAAATAAGCAACCAATAACATTATTAAACAATTAGATTTTTTTCTTTTTCTTTTTCCATGTTCAATTAGATGTACTTTCTGACAAACATGATAGACAAAGAATTTATATACTAACTGGTCTCCCTGGGTGAAATGGAATCTCAGGCCCCCCTGTAATTTCAACAGCGACAATCCCTGCCAACTTCAACAGGCACAAAAGAATGAGTCAATTATCTAGTCAAGGAGAATGATAAATAGAGATATACACTTTTTTCTATAGTACCTGGTAGAAGTCTGCATAGGAGAGGATTGGGAACTGCTCCTTTATTGGCTCCAACAACCTAACAGCAATGTCAAGACCATTGTTGGCTTCATGTGCAAGCTCATTCGGATTCCTAATTGTCCCAAATGGCCCTCCTGTTTTAGTTTTCACATCAAATGTCCCAGCAGAATGCCATCTGGAAAATTACAATCCAAGTAATTACCCACCATCAATGATTATCATGAGTAAAGCTCCACGTACAGGGAGTGCATTGACAGGGTGGGGACACTTGTCTCCCCTTAATTGGCTAAGTCGGAAAACTGTTTTTTCTCTTTAACTTAGCCACATGGACCCTAGCAGCTTTCGATTATCATTGATACATAGAGAGACTTATTTAAGCAATGACCAGTGGTTCCGACGTTTATTTTGATGGGCTCATAGATAGAGTGCGACATCTACTTGAATAGTTAAAAGTGTCCCTTTTTGTGTTTCAGTTTTCATTTTTCCATTCTGAGTTTTAAGGTCATTTTCAATTTTTTTTTAATGTTTTGAAAATCTGTTCTAAGATTTTTAAAAACGTGTTTAATTTGTTATTTTGATAAGTTATTTCTCAAAAAAAAAATAATAATAAATAAAATTATAAAAACATAATTGGTTTGAAATTTTAAAAAATTATTTTTTGGCATTTTATTCAATAAAATTTGATTATTTAGTTAAATTAGAACGACTTCATGTTACTATATTATCATGTAATATTACATCTTAAAGTTGATGGATCTTATAATATTTTTTCTTCCTACAAAAGTAAAATAAGAATAAATAATTAATTGAGTTTGAAATATATTAAATAAAAATAAAAACTAATAATGTGGACCGATAATATTTTTATCTATGTTCACTTAAATATTCTTTCAGAATTCTTTTGTAAATAATTATTAGGAGCTTGAACTAATTTTAGTTTATTTATAATTTTTATTTTTCAAAAATTCTAATAATTTTTAATTTTTGAATTTATATTTTTAAATTTTATTTTTAATTTTCAAAATTTTATTTAAACACTTAATTTCGACGTGAAACAGTTGTTTTTTTCCTTTTTTTTTTTTTTAATGTTTAAAGATTTTACAGAATTTTCAGCCCTTGTTTGATTTCCATTCTTCAAAAAAATCATTTTTTTAAGATTCATTTCAACTACACATTCTTCAATAAAATAATATTACACGCAAATTCAAAACATTTCTTTAATTTTTAACCATACATTCTCCATCAACCTATTATTTAAAATGCATTATTTCTCCCAAAATGGAATCAAACAAGGGCTTAATTGTAAGTTTAACATTATTTTCGAAAATATATTTTAAAAATTACCAAACCAATATGTTCTATTTTGTAAAACTGAAAATTTCCTCACAAAATTCCTCCAACGCTTAGATGAGTGGGTTTCAGGGTGTAATAAAAAAATGTCAAAAAATTCAGCATCGTTGTATTTTTATACGTTGGCGCCTGCACAACCAGGATAGCAACTACGAAGAAGAATCCCATTAATAAACGATAACTAAAAAAGGTTACAGTATAAAGTTCAAATGCACTCACGCCAATCTAAGCATGATCGGAGCACAGTGTTTCTCAGCTATGAAACCTCTGAGTTTCTTCTTGCATTTTCCCACCGCCTTCTGGTACTCTTCACTCACTTCGGGATAACTCTTCACCATCGCTATGAACGATTCGCCGATCAATTTCAAACTAGAATAGAAAAATATACAATCATCAGCTCAAATCAAATCACTCAACTACATGAAAATCACATCAGCTCAGATGAAATTACAAACCTCTCAAAATGGAAATGGAATCTGCGTGCGGACAGAGGAAAGAATATAGAGGAGATCGGAAAAACGGAGAAACTTCCAGTGTTCTAAATATATTATTATTATTATTTTTTAATGAAAAAGAACGTGTCAATGCCTGTGTGGGTCATCCTAGATTTTTCACAGTGATGGAGTGTAACGGTCTAGATGATGCTCATTTGTCGCATTGGGGTTGGTGGGCCACATGGTGGACTCGTTGTGGAATTTGCCTATAAATTAGCGGACAAGTGGTGAACAGACTATAACTGTTTGGGCTTCTATTGGGCAGAAGGATATCGTTTTGGGCCGATGGTGCGTATAAAGAGTTAGGAAAAAAATCATAAATCATGTATTAGCACTAAATCAATTTTTAGGCCTTAAGTTTTAAAAAATGCAAAAATCAGGTATTAGTCAAAAATATTTTATTAATTAAATACAAAAGGTCACAATTATATAATTAATGATCAACATGTACATAATTATATGTCACAAATTATTTATTGATGATTACATATTATCAAATTAATTTGTCATTGATTATTTTAAGATTACGAATCAAAAAATTTATTGATCACAGTTTATCTATCAATCATATATTTTTAAATTTATTGATCACGAATTATTTTTTAGTCACAAATTATCGAACTTTAAGGTTACAGTTAAATAGTTTGTCACATGTAAACTAAATAGTGGGTCACATACCATCGCCATCAACACTACCACCACTTCCACTATGATCACTTGCGACCACCCTCACAACGCTCTATCGTCATCGCCGTTGTTGCCAACACCACAACCCCACCACCATTAAATCCAACACCACTGCTATCCCCCACTTGTTGTGAATAATAATATGTAACATCACCACCACCCAAAATCAACAGCTCTCATACGTAAAATCATAGAAATAAAATGACTACCAATTATACATTACCATTTTCTTCATGCCTCTCCATCCATCTCGATTGGCTAATCAAAACATCCAAATCAGCCAATTGAACCAATCCCTACCACCCATCCACGCACATAGCAATGACATCCATCATCACCGATGGTGCAATGACGAGCTTGGTAGCGACGGGAATACCAGAGAAACCTCTCTCACAACGCCCATAGCCTCCAACACCTCTACTTGTACAACCAACAAAAATAACTTAAAACCCCCCAACAACACCAAAACCAACCTAAACCACCATTATCGCCGCCACTAGTAGCATCAACAACACCATCACACCCCAAGCAGATTCATCGACATCGCACCACTGCAACACGTCATCAATATGACGACGACACGAAAACCATCGCAAGTAGATCTGTGGTGTCATGTTGTAGTTGCCGTTGGCGTGGCGTTGCCTAAGACGACGATTCAATATTTTAGAAGAAAAAGAAGAGAGAAGGGAGAGAGAAGGAAATATTAGAGTTAAGCACAGGTTGGCCATATATTAAATTAATGTTTGGTATTTGAACAAATAAACTTCGTACCAGTTTTATAAATTGTAATTTATAAACACCCGTTGACATGTAATTTTCCCAAAGAGTTAAACGCAGATTGGCCCATATATCGGCACATACATGTGGGTTTGATTTTTTTTGTTGGTAAAGAAGACAGAGGTTGTAATAAGATTTAAATCATGCTATCATCTTACTTACTAACTTATTTTTGCTAGTTTATTTCGATCCAATCCATAGATTTATTAGAAAATGGAAATCCCATTATATTCAATACTTGCGCGGCAAACTTTATATGTTGAAAAATAAAAATTCAATTGGTTAGTTTGATTTTTATGAACGATTTTAGAAATATCACTATTTTTCACCATTTTCCAACAAAAAGCATTAATAACATATTTTGTATGCTGAATTTGGATATGACCGTACTGAGTTTGATAACATATAAATTTTATTACACGTTTCTATTTATTTTGTCATAAGTTAAAAAATAAAAAATTTAAAAAAAATTCACTATAAATGTTGATAATTTTGCAAAATAGAAATGCTTTAGAGTTTGTTTGGAAGTGATTTTGAGAATTGATTTTTTGATCATTAAGAGAAAAGTGTGGTCCCTTTGTAAGAGGAAAAGTCAAATATGATGATTATAATAATAAAATAATAGTAAAAAAATTAATTTTTGAAGGAAAAAATGGCTCCTGTTATTAAAAAGTCCATCGAAAAGTCTACAAAGTATTTACAAGCACTGACAGGCAAGAATAGTCACATCTAGAGCAGGAGGAAAAAAATGGGTACGAGGACTGAAATGACATGTCATATACATGGCCCACTTATAGATATTGTGTATTTTTAAATAGTTTCCATTAAGGGTTGGTACAGTCTTGAGGGAACAGTTACCAGCCATTAAAGTAAAACATCAACACTCTCGGCAGTACCAATTGTTTGCACGAGGATTCATACTCCTTTCTAATTTCATGTTACTTGTTTACTAGTTAATAATGTCAGGTTAAAAACAACCAGGCAGAGAGAACATAGGATAACACTAAGGACACGTTTGTGCTTCTTTAATTTCAAAAAGCGTACAATGAAATAGTGATTGATGTTGAAATATGTGGTTAAAAAAAAATCTTTGATTTATGTGTAATATTTATTTTAATGAAGAATGTGTGACTAAAAATGAGTACCGTAAAAAAATAATTTGATAAAACGTGATAGAATGGTTGACAAACAAAAGCTAAAGTCTAAAAATTGCTTGATATAAGTAAAACTTTTAAATAGTTTATTGATTTTAACATCAATTCTTGTGGTCACTCATTTAATATTGTACACGTAATAGATAAATCTTGTATGTATTTTTTAAAAAAGGATTTTGCCTATTTTTCAAGGCCTCAAAAGTCGTAGAAATACATAAGAACTATTGATTAAAATGAAAAGGAGATATAATTCCAGTATTTTGAAGTCGCTAGTCAATCTTTTTTTTTTTGGCGTGCATCTATTGGTCGGTTCGAATTGCAAAAAACAAGTCTAAGGGTCCGTTTGGTGCACATTTTTTAGATGAAAATGCATTTTAAACATCATATCGCGGGTCCCCCATTAGAGTGTAGAAGTCAAAAATTGTGTGCTGATGTGACGGAAAAAATGCATTTTTGGCTCCAAAAATGAATACCAAACAGGGGCTAAGTCTTATCTGTACATGTAACAAGGTCCTTATTTTATACTCATGGTAGTGTGTGTATATATATATATATATAACAAGAAAAAAACCCAGCTCCAAGTTGTTGAAAAATAGTAACTTGAGCAAGGATTATTCAATTCTAATGCTCAATCAGCTAAAGAAGGGAAAAACATTTCTAAATGGCAAGATGGATCGGTTCAACTCTATTTTCCACCTGCCAAACACACCCCAACCAACATTAAAAATCTTAAATTGCCAGGATGACAAGATGGGTCACTAGTTTCTGTTACGAAAAGTCAAATCAAAGCATCTAAGACTTCCTATTGGGAACAGTATATAAGTACGGAGTACAGATGCAGCTAGCTGGCTCATAATGCATAATCCATACCACCTCTCTTTCTTAAATCTTGCACAGTTACAGTGTACTGACAGTCTTAAGAGCAAAGCCGAGGATTGCGGTGAACCACCCCACACCACTAAGTAATTGGAGGAAGGAACCTGAGGATAAAAACATAATCAGTGGTAGAGACCCACCAGTACCAGGTTTTGAGTGTACCTTGTACTCATTGGGCAATCAGCTTGTGCATGTATCATCTTTTGTAATTCTAGGATGCTCTTCAACTTTTGTGGGCCCCACCAATTTATGCTCCAGTTGACAACCATTTTCTGATGCCAGTTACGATATGACACGAAAGTAAAAGCAACAGAGTGTAACCCAGTAAACGTGGAGCGTAATGGACGATTTTGACACACTTCATGAGATAAAAAAGAACTCAAAATGATTCCAATATCTGGTTAAATTCATCAATTACTGCCCAACTTTGTATTCACAACAGTCACCTAATTTTATTTTATTTCATCATGGACACCCAATTTTATATTTGGCCCTCATTTTGTGGAAATAAAAATTGATAGAATAATATTTATTCAAAAAAAAGTGATTGAAAAAAAAAGGAAAAACTTTTTGTTTTATGTGTAATATTATCTTATGGAAGATTGTGCCGTTGAAAATAGAAAAGGTAAAAATGAAATGTAATAGAATGGAGATTGATGGAGGCCAAACGGGAGCTTAGTGCCACCATGGGCACCCAATTTGATTTTATAAAATAAATAATTCTCTAACATTTTCGATTTTTGCAGACTTATCGTAACCTTCATTTTGTGCCAGTGGAGGTTCCTAACCTTCCATAAATATGCATTTGAAGTCTATTTAGACGAAAATCGTCCAAAATATAGTCAGTTGACCAGAAAACTTAAGGTATCGACATTCAATAAAATCATCCAAAAACACCGTCCAAAAATGTATCAACATCTAATAGAACTGTCGCATTAGCAGATAGCTCAAGGAATTTTACTGCTCAACTGACGGTATTTTGGACGGTTTCCCATCCAGATGAACCTCGGGTGCATATTTATGAAAGATTGAAAACCTCCACTGGCACAAAATGAAAGTTAAGGTAAATCTACAAAAAACAAAAAAGTTAGGGACCGTTGCTACAATTTCCCTAAAATAAAATAAAATAAAACGGTTGGATGTCATGATGAAACAAAATTAAATTAGGTGGCCATTGTGATACTAAATACAAAGTTAGGCGGCCATTGATAGATTTAACTATTTCAAAATGAATGAAATAAAAGCAACGCTATTGCATAATGCATCTTGAGCAAGGAAAGGCCTTTCGCAATGTTCCCCTTTAACGAAGCAGGAAAAAAAAAGAAGATTCGCTCGAAGGACGAGAAGACATTCCTATAGACAGGTTGGCTACAGGCCGTCAATAGAACGGACGTGAACAAACAAATAAAGCATGATTCGTAATCAAAATCAATTAAAAGATTTCAATAAGGATTGACCACCTGGAATAACTCGAGAATTACCAAATTACCCTTCACATTTGAAGAAGGGGGCATGCAATTCAAATATTTTCCTCTCGAATAACTATTTCTCCTCTTGTTTTAGTTTAAGCATCTAGATTAATAAATTTAGGAGGTGGAACTCATAGTTAGGTGAGGATTTGTTCATTGTATTTGCAATGATCTTTGATTGTCATCGTTTATCAATCAATTCATTTGATCCAGTTTCTTCAATCAACATTTGTGCACATAAGCATCATTCACTAAAGTTTTCAGGACGACGAAAACAAAGACTAGCAAAAAAGAATCCCAGAATCAATTAGAACCCTATATTGTTATGTTGCAAACGACCTGTTTTATAGGTACAGAAGTCTAGATGGTGTCGTAATCTAACTGCCAGTTATTTCAGCTCATGCCATAGTAAGGTGAATTGGCGACAGAAGGTAGACAATGGTGTCGGGATACAGTTTCACTTGTATGAACAGCAGCTGAAGAAGCAGCAATACTTGAATTAGCGAATCCTGATGATGCTGCAGTAGAGAAGAGTGGCTCTGTGGGAACCCCATTAGTAGGGTTCTGTGTTTGCCATGCCCAATCAGCGGAATAATGAAAGTCCATACTCTTCTCTATTGCTGATCCCTGCAAATGAAAACTTATTGACTATTATATGCCCTACTGCAAGGAAATAATGAACACAAATAATAAATTCCGCAGACAGCAATAGACTTCTTAGTATATAAATACAGAAATTCCTGATTTTCTCTAAACTAGTTTAAAAAACAAACAGCCGACTATGAGCACGATTATTTAAATATGATAATTGGCAAGAATGAGATCATCAGAAGTAGATATCAGCAAGGTCTAGATCAATAAGTTGAGGACAAAATAATAGAAGAGAATATGTGTTGAGATGTTACCACCTCCTACAACACTCCAGTAACGAAATCATGTACACAAAGAAGATTACAGAAAACAAACCAGGTCAAATACTTGTAAAGGAAAACCAAAGAGAACTGCCAAATGAGTTAATAAACACAAAATATCATATCTTACCTCATAAATGGGACAAGAACTGGAATTCACACCTTTCCAGATGTGAGGATGGTCGAGCACATCGATATATCCATTCGACAATTGTGTGTCCATTGTGGCTGAAGCATATTTATGCACCTACAACAAAATAAGTGCAGCTAGGAAAGCTTTAGCAAACACCCCATTTCAATTGTATAACATACGCGATAAACCAAATTCTATCAGACATGAATGTTCAAATTACCCTTGCTCCATTTACAGGAAGGATGCCATCTGAGCTGCAGTGAATCTGGAAGCCATCAGCATCAATTGTCCTGATTTGGCCATCAGTAGAACAAGGGGGAGCAATGCCCAAGTTCAGATCAAGATTATGGTTTCCACCAGCTACAGATAACAGACACATCATAGGGTAATTGACAACTAAGTAACAAAGTTACATTAATTTAAAAGGGATCTTAACAAAGATTTAAGTTTATGATGTGCTTGATATGTTTACCTCCATTACCTGCCTCAGAGCTAATCTTCTCTTCGTATGTGCTTGGCTCAAAATTAGTGACTGCTTCCCTTCCGTTACATTTTATAGCAGCTTTGTCATATGCCCTAATTAACATCAGCAGATGTATATCAAGCTATATGGATGGATAAAATCATGTATAATAAAGAGCAGAAGTAAATTATGATCATTGGAACCTCGCAGCTTCCAACTCACTGTCAAACAACCCGAGATAGATATACCTGTAGGAAAATACCATATGAAAACCAACAACCACTTGCATTTGACTTGAAATGTTTTCAAGGTCACAAAACTACTGTAGATGAATGAATGTTAAGAGCAAGATCTATGACAAGATTCTTCATAAATTTCAAGAAATTTAGCAGCATCTCACTTTTTGCCAAGAAATTGTCCCATTCGAGCTTCCCAACGGCCACATTTGTGCAATGTGACTCCCCTGTACTTCGAACTTCCTCTAGAAAACCCAGTGCTCTGGCGACGCAGTATATGTACAAATTCTTCTTTGGTTAAATTTTTTATCTGCAGAACATAAATACAATCGAAGTATGCACTCAATGACATAAACTCGAATAGGATTACACTAGTAGTAAATATCATCAACTCAAATAAGTTATGCTAATAGAAAATCCAACCAACCTGCTTAAGGTCTTTTTCATAATCAACTACGTTGAAATTGATATCAGCATCAATCCCACGGAATTTGATCGCAGCACGATCATATGCCCTGAAATTATTATTTCAGAACTTTCAAACAAATTCTCTCCCCAGTAGACACCAGAAAGCACTCAAATTTTGAAAATCAATGTCTTAAGTCATAATCCAGGAAAATTTCTTACCTAGCTGCATCATGTGCAGTGTCGAAGCCCCCTGTGATCGAGTTTGCATTTCAATTATTATTATGGAAGGTCAGCAAAGTTGTGTAAACAAAGTCTCCAAGATCAATTCCTCAAGTGAACGGAGGGATGGTTGTAAAAAAAAAATTGTAGTCTTACCTAAATAAACTTGTTTTCCACTGTCCCTGCAAGATCCACAAATAAAAACATCTGTTATCATACGTCCTGACAATCAATAATGTGCATCTGAAGCATCTTAAGCAGCTCTATAATGAAAATAAGTTGGAATTAATTAAAGATTAGATGGATTGTAATCCGATGAAAATGGAGGAGTATGTGATCGCATATCTCCACAATGTGTACTCTATAGAATATAACTAATGATCCTATAATACAATAAAAATCTAGACAATTTTGTGATATGTAATACATAGAGACACAGAGAGAGTAAAACCCTGGCTCATCATACTAACCAAATGTGAGATTCCCATCGTCCAGTTCTACGATAGAATGTAACTCCACGGTACTGAGAGCTTCGAGACCTTGGTCCTCTCCTGCTCTTCTTCGCCTGCTGTCTCTGCAGCGGCTGCTGCTGAGCGACGATCCTCTGCTCCACCGCCCCACCGTAATTCCCCGAAAGATCCAACCATTGACACTGCTTCGCCACAGCCGCTCCCGGGAAAAACTCCGTCGTCACAAATCCGTGGCTTTGATTCTCACTCTCCCTATAGTCGTTCACTTCTCCATTACTTTTCAATATATCGAAACTGAAGAAAGGATTCGAAGAGGAGTCTTCATCACCGACGGCGTTGGAGATTTCCATATTAACAACAGAAGAACTAGAACTGCCGGAATTCTCCATTTGTCTTCCGCCAAATTCGTGTTGCTTTTCCCAAATTGTTTCAATTCCATTGAAGATCGATCCATTCGCATCAATAGTCAGATTAAGGTCCAACATCACTCTTCTATGCTAAAAAATTCACCTCAAATTTCCAATTTCCCTCACTACTATATATAGTTGCACGGTAGAAAAAATGTACGTATTGTTGAAAACTGCAATTGATCAGATTGAATCATGAGCTAGAAAGATATATATAGTGAGAGAGAGGAAAGAGTAAACGGGAAATGAACGGTAAAGAAGCGAAGAATAGGTGAGTTAGTAAATATATACGTACACATAGCCACACAGGGGGACTGTAAGATTGTATCTATAGATTCATATATACGTATATAACTGAACTTCACATTGATATGTACAGTAAAATAAAAGGAAAAACAGTTTTCGAGAGAAAACAGAATAGAGAACGCGAAACATTTGAAATGTGCTACCGGTAGAGAAAGAGAGACCGAAGAAGTTAAAAGTGTTCACCGTGCAAATGATACACGGTGGCACGTAAGGAACACGCGAGGCTAGTCGGTGGTTGTTGCGGGCGGTGGGAATCACAATATTTGATAATTGAGATGACAAGACATTCATCATGGAAAAGGATGAGGGAATAGTGAAAAGGAAGATCGATTAGACAAGTGACGCTTCTTTAGGTTTCGGACCCCAGGGTGGTAGCGTACTCCACCTGACGCGTGGAATAAAAATACGCGCGCCGATGCGTGGGCATTGTTTTTGGTTTTGGCTATTGAAAAACCTGTTAACAAAATTAACTAACTAAGAATAACCCGAAATTTTTCCCCAACAAACTTTCTGGTAATCTCAACTCCTCGGAAATTAGCCTACGTTTGGCCCCTATATTTTTAAAAATTCATTTTCAATCATACATTATTTTATAAAATATTTTTATGCATAAATTTAATTTTTTTTTTTACTTTTTAATCGTACATTTTTTACAAAATATTATTCTAAAATATATTTTTGCCAAAAGATGAAATTGTTTGTAGTTAAATAAAAAAAAATGACACAACATTAAGGTGCTTAAAGTTGAATTGTTGGGATAGACAGAGACATGTCCCATCTTGTTTCACTGGCAACAAATTGAAAGTCAATAGTGTCTCCTGATCAATAGTGTTACTTTTGAAATGTCATATTTAAATTTAAGGGTTGTTTAAGCCACGTTATTTTAGTAATAATATATTTTTAAATAGTGTATTGATGAGAAATGTGTGGTTAAAAAATAAGAAAATTTTTTTATTTACGTGTAATATTATTTTATTGAAAAATGTATGGTTGAAATGATGTCAAATTACTGTTTAAAAATATATTTTTTGGAATAATGTGGCTCAAACAGGCTCTAATTAGCCTCGATTTGGATAAAAATTATTTTTTAAATAAATTTTGACAAAACTAATAAAATATATAATTAAAAAGTCGATAAAATTTATGAATCATATAAAATATGTGATTAAAATATATTTAAAAAATAAGTGTCTAACATGAACTTACAAACAAGAAAAAAGTTGGTTTACACTGCAGTAGATTGGGATATATTATTATTATTATTATTATTTGAATAATATTATCTAGTTCGTGTTAAGTATCAATCTAATTGAGTAAATTGTATCTAAGTTACCGTAGAAGTAAATAAAAACACTTATATTATGAAATGTTCAAATAGTTAATTGTTCAAAAAGTTGGACGATATTTCCTTGTTCGTAGATCATCACGAAGAACAAATAGTCAATTAGCCATATTTTCTTCTTCTTTCCCCTAAAAAGGACCAATTTCATGTAAATGATGGATATAATTTAATTTGAACAAAGTTGTCGATAGATTGAAGTAGACGATGTAAATGATTAATTTTATGTTCCACCATCCATCACTTGCTGGTCTAAAGTCTTCCTTTTGCCTAGAAAGAAAGAATCTTCATCAAACTTTGCGAGATGGTGATAGTCACATCCCTTTCTTGATATTCTATGAAAATTTAAGATATCAAAAAATAGATCCCCATTTATTATAATGTCCTAAATGACTTGTCCCTTTCTCCCAGGGTAAAACAACAGTACATGTGTAAATGTAAAGTGTCAAATTTGATTGGGTATAAGTGGGTATTTAGAGTGATAGCAAAAACTAGAGATATTGGGTAATGCGGCATTCCACCTTACTTATTCAATAAAGGCATGATAAAAGTTCATTGTTAGTCGTACTCTACCATAGTTAAGAGTATAGACTCGACCTTTAGAGTGCAATAAGCCTTTGCTCTTACTTTTAGTGGCCGAGCTCACTAACATGTGTCCTACTCATAAGATTTTTGGGTCGTGGTGGGTTCACAACCTTAGCAAGAGAATCTAGTGTCCAACCTTGACAAAGGGATAGCCTTCAGAATGGCCGGTATATTGGTTCTATTTTCCACAATAGCCTTTGCTATTGGAAATACTATTTTACCCTTACTTTTATTATTTGCAAAGTGTATCTTGTATCTTTTGATATTTCTTTAAATCAGAACTTATGTTTATATTTTTTAATCTTTCAAATACTTTTAAAAATTCTCTGTATCTTGATAATTCTTTAAAGATTCTAGACTGATCTTTCTCAATTATGTATCCTAGAACCATTCCTTCTGAAACCTCTTCTTCTACATCTTTATATTTAGTTATAATATCTTCTATTTTTTTTATTTCTCTACTAGTTGTTACAGAATCAAGTATTATCTTATGCTTCCAATAATAATCTATATCTCGATATATTTCTTTAAGTTTTTCTTGGCCAACAGGAAATATGTCTTCAGATTTTTCATCTAATTTAAGTAAAAAAGAAATATCTTTCTTATCTAAATATAATATGGAATCACTTTTATTACTAGAAGTGGATGTGAATGCTTGTGAAGTGTTCATCAAAATTAATCAAAGCATGAGTATGTAAAAGCGAGTAAATAACTTGCAGTAATCGAATAGAAGTAAACAGGCTTTCCCTCCCGTATACTCTTATAGATGCTTTACATGTACTTAATCAATCTTCTAAATCAAGTAAAAGTTTTTTTCATTTGGGTCCACAACTGCTTCCGCAAAAGGCTTTTCAATTAAGGTTGTAATTCTCACTCTAGAGAACTAGTCGTGTTACCACAGACGTTATCTCACAGTATTCAGAATCTCTATTTTCACCTCTATTCAGAATCAAGTTCTTACTTGGAATGAAATTTTAAAAGATAACTCACACACAACGTGCTACAATTTTGTTAGAAACTGCCTTTTTCCCCTAAATCATTCATCAAAGAAGGGTACTTTAGCATGACTAACATTCATTCAAAATCAACGCTTTGAAAATCTTTTAAAATATCTATCTGTACTGCCTAGAAATCATGAGAAATTTAACGAAATCTTTTTATGAAAGTTTTGTTAAACATAACAAACTTCACTTTAATATTCATAAACTGAAATAGTACATGTTTACAATCTATTTTTACATACATTTGGTACTCACCCTAGAACTTCATAAGTGATTACCTTATTACAAGCTTTGCTATCTTCTAACTATCTAATATTTCTGAATACAAGTGGTGTATACAGATTACAAAATATTTGAGATGTGTTTCTTCAGAGTGTCTTAGGGATAAGTTGTTTTTCAATGTCCCCTCTGCTGCCCTTCTTGCCTCCTTATATAGAAGGTTTTGAGAATCTTATTTTGACAACTGTATCCTCATTTCTTTTGTTGGGTAGCTCAGTAATCTTATCTCCACCGATTTCTTCATTATTTTCTTGCTAGGTGGACCTTTCTTTTTGAAATTTTTGCCTTATCTTTGATTTTGTCTTCCACTCATGACAACCAGTAGGTGAGTGGTCACAATTATGGAGACTTTCTTGCACTATCTTCTGTCTTTTAGTAGCCACGATTTTTTTTTAATAAATTTTTTTATTAAAGTAATGATAAAGGGCCACTTTTGTCACTATCACTTTTCCATCTTCGAATCAAAGAATTCTGCAAGGAATTCTTCACTGTTGAGAGATGCTTGACTCATATCTTCTACTACACAGTATTCACAATGGTGGTTACTGTAATTCCAGAGTAGTTTGCACATTCTTTCGCCATATCTTCTGATCCATGTACTTAGTTTGAGATAATTGAGGATAATAAATGGTCAAGATAACATATATTTTCTTCCTTTGTGGCCATCATTGCACTGGAGTAGATTATATGGTCTTCAGATGAATAAATTCATATTTTTTCTTTCTCAGTAATTATCTGAGTTACATGTTCAAATATCTCTTTGTACCCTTTTGCTTTTCTGTAGGGCATCATATTTATAACATCTTGGTATCCATTTTTAACAACATTTTGATTGGTTGGTAAAAAAATGTTGATTTGTAAGTCCCATTTTGATAACATTGAAAAATGGATGCATATATTCAAGAACGGGATCCCACCCCATAGTTGCTGAATGGAATCTGATGTATATATTTGTTGTCTTGACTACTTCAGTCTATCTTTTTACAGCTTTCCTGACGTTGACTGAAAGCTGTGCTATTTCTTTGAGATCTTTGCTAGGATATATATAGAGTATATTTCCTATCTCAAAATAATTTCGTACCTAGTTGGTTGGTGCTCCTGGATAGAAGTTTATCCTGTTGTATTTTGTATAGTGGAGAGTTTTCATTCACTTTCCTATTTCCAGATACCAATCTGATAAAACATTAAAAATAACAATAACGAATATAACTTCTTCATGGTTATCTTTTCTGAAAAATTTTGCCTTATGGCATATTTTGACAATATCTTTTGAATTTATCCTTTGAATAGAAAGTTTAGATTGAATTTGGCTCTGTGAAGAGCTATCTTCATTTTTAATATTTTGAATATCTTCATTACTAGTAATAGGTTTAAGTATTCCCTGTGAAGGGGTTCCTACTACCTTCTTTTCTTTCCCTTTATCCTCGGGGAGAGCGCTAGTATTTACTGGTCCCTGTGAAGGGATACTAGACTTTGTACAAGTTACTTCTGCCTCAAGGGCTATATTTTTGCCTTGAAGGTTATCTTGAATATTTTGAATTTGTGTTTCCAAATAGGAAACTTTTATATCAAGTATTTGGACTTTTGTCTTTAGTTGCTCTAACTCCATCCTTGTTGAGATAATCAGGAAGAAAGTTAGTTTTACTTTTTATATATTCAATATCAAATTTGAAGTATGAAAACCAAATTTGTATCTTGATGATATATCTATTGGCAATGGATGGATCAACATTATTTTTCAGAAAGGCTTTAACTTGAGTATTATCAGTTCTAATCAAAAACTTTTTTTGGTAATAAATAATCTTCATATTTTTGAACTCCCCTTTTTACAGCAATGAGTTCTTTTCTGTTTGTCTCATATCTCGTTTTAAATTTTTTGAATGTTCCTGATGTATAACATGCAAGTATCTCAGGACAAGAAATTTTTTTTTCACATTTATATTCTTTATGATTCTTTTTAACCTTTAATACTGCTCCCCAATAATTATCTGAAGTATTAGTTTCAAGGATAAAGAAATCTTCTTCTTGTGAAATTATGAATTTGGGCAATACCTTTAATTCTTCTTTTACCTTTCATATATTTTC